TGGATCATGGCTGGTAATTATGTCAATGCTCCCTTACAGACACTTCCATCTTTTTCTCCAACCGTCTGCAAACTTATGAGGGAGAAACACAAAAGTTTTTCCCTTTCTTTTTTCATTTTCTGAATTTTCAAAAAATTCATGTATTTTGCCATCGCTGCTTACTGCGTTCGTTTGCAAGACATTGAATGGCTCAAATGCATTGGGAATGGGATACTGACTATATGCATGCACGTATACCGCACACCGAACTAGCACTTCGCGGTGTAATATGACCGGAATCACATGTATAAACAGCAGCAACACTTCTGCACGCACAGGGCCAAAAATACAGGGTGAAAGTACTGACCCAGACTCATTGAATCATGAGCAAGGAAGCCATATTTGGCTGATGAGACCGGCAACATGTTGTCCAATTAACCCGCTCCTTAAGATGATTTGCGATTACCATATCTACCCAGTGATCCGTTAGCGCATGTACATCGTTATTGTGTGATTATGTGTCGTCGTAATGTGCGTGTGTTCATTTTAAAATGTTTTTCATCCGTATTCAAGGTCAGCAAGGTCATCAAGCTTTCACCCGAGCTAACCTAGGAAAGCGTTCTAAATTGCAATATGATTATTGCTTGCTCTCATGAATGCATCAGCACTGAACTACCGCTTCTTACTTTGAAAAACTCAGTTTTATTGATGGTTTGGGTGGAACGGGACGTACAATCGCAGCGCCCCTTTGAAGCAAAGCATTTACCATGACGCATCAAAGCAATTCTGGCCAAGGCCCTGAGCACCGGCGCTAGGCACGGCGGTGACTTGACCTGTCACCTGACCTGTGACCCGACCTGACCTGACCTGTCCGGTGGGCCATTCCAGTCGCCCTGGGCGCGGAGACCTTCACGTGTCCGCCCGATGAGACGACCGGCAAGTTCGCCGACCCGGACGAGTGCGACAAGTACTGGGACTGTTTCCGCGGCACGCCCGAGCCCGTGTATTGTCCGGACGGGCATGCTTTCGACCCCGCTCTCATTCACCTGAGGGAGCCGTGCGACTACATCTTCTCCGTCGACTGCACCGGTCGTGAGCTCCTGGGCGACCCGCTGGGCACGGGCGTCTGTGTGCGAGAGAACGGCCTCTACGCGCACGAGGACCCCAACATTTGCGACAGGTACTACACGTGCAAGAAGAATGTGCCTACGCTTCGACTCTGTCCGCCGGGCCTGCACTTCAACCTTGACCTGAGGTCGTGCGACTGGCCGGAAGGCGCCCAGCGCGGCGCGTGCGGCGCCCTGCAAACCCTGGACAACATCACCTGCGACCCGTCGCAGGAGTTCTTCTTCACCAGCGCCAACCAGAAGATCGTGCACCCCACCTTCCCGCACCCGACCGACTGCCAGCGTTTCTACGTGTGCAAGAACGGGATCGCACCGTCCATCGGCCGCTGCGACGAGGGGCTGGTGTACAGCACCGCCACCTTCGCCTGCGAGAAGCCCGCCGACGTGCCGGACTGGTGAGTGGGTGGGGCCGCCGCCGCTCGCACTGGACGTCTCCGCGGGTCACGAGGTGGGTCGGAGCCGGGGTGCTGTGGTAGGTTCGCACTTTGGGCGGCGAAGCGAGCTCATGCTTGATTCCCAGCGACAGGCGGTTGCCTTCTGTTGACAGCCAGCACGGATTGGAGCTTTGCCAAACAGGGCTGGCTCGGTCGAGGGGTTTCGCGCGATGCTGTCAGGGTGGATTTTTGGTGGCGGCACGAAGTGCAGTCGTGCAGACAGGAGCGGCCCCTGGAGGCATGCATGAATTGACATCAATTTTTTCCGTTGCATCGTCTGGGCCTTGACACGACTGGTGGTATGTCGGATGGCACCTGTGCTCTGCAACCTTCCACAGCTTCCAGGTGTCCACGGCAGTCCAAGAAATTCATACAACGTGCTCGCGCTGTTAAAAGTCTCAATTACTGATCGTTAAAGAATGGAGCCAGTCAACTTGTTTTTAGCAACATACATCGAAATACGCATAACTTACCGGACTCAAGTGATCTCAGGTGTTTTGACTGGGCATGGCATCCGGACGCTCTAAACATGTCTGCCAACCTCCCCACATATGGCTCTTGCGATACCCAGCAGCAGTCTGTGAGTGCGCTCCGACTGGCCGCCAGTAGCCGTGATGCCCCTGCCCTCAGCGCCGACTACTATAACTCTCCTGACGCGGACCTGTCCGTGCGCTCGTGATCGGCCCTGGCCGGCCGGCCTGGCAGCTGCCAGCCGGAGCACGTCGCCGCCCGGGCACTAGTCAAGACATCCGGACCGCGCCGCCCGACTCCCCGCCCAGTCACCCGTCAGTGGGTCACACGGGGTCACAGCCGGCGACGTCGACGGAGCCGCGGCGACGCCGAACATGTTCCACGGCACGAGACATCAAGCATAATGCCCTCTATCGATCTGGGTGGACGCGTTGCTTGATGCTTGTCCGTGGGCAGACCAGCGACCTTCCCCAGTGGTCTGACATGATCTGGCATCTGCGACCACTGTTGGCGCTGGTCAACAACCCTTTTGAATGGCCTGGGCTGCCCAGTGATCTGATCTGGTGATCTGGGTTCTGCCAGCTCCAGGGGGCCGCTTGGCCCACCCCTACGTGACGCACACATTTGTTGTTACCAATCGCTGAGACAAGTACAACTGTTTGTGTGTGTGTACGTGCAACCTCCATGCTGCAGCTGTAGAATGGAATGTGATAAAAAGACCGTGCTGAATACAACACATTACTTTATCAACCGCTATGTTCTTCGCCCGTTGTCAGACATCTCCGAAGTTGTGTGCAGAGTTGAAAACCACGAATAAAGTCCCTGCGATGTTCATCACAGACAGCACAAAACCGCTGCTCCATCCAATAAATCCGTCAAATTAAGAGCGTTGACATGACAACGAAGACAGTTTTAAGATTGAACGTACAAAGAAAGTGTGTTAAAGGACAAAACAAACCTTATTTACTTCTTGAAGTAATTATCAACTTACCTTTACGGAATGACATCAATGCGCCTGGCCTGATACTTTATCATTGGATACTTCTAGAGGGTAAACCCACTCTCGAAGAAAGAGCAATCAGCTACAGACGTCAGGCCCAGTCCATCACGCATGACGTTAAGGTTGTGCTAATTATGGGCGTCTGATAACCAGCGACGTCAGTGCGCTCTTGAACTTTAATCATCATTACCATTTAAGGTTGTACAATATCGCTCAATGCTCAACGCCGTTTATTGGCATAGTGCTCAACGAGTGAAAGTGCTCGTGCCGATAACACATTATTAGTTGAAGTAACGCTTAAGCAGACACATTTATGTTCTTCAGGCCTGTAGTAAATGCAGCCACGCCTTGGTTAAGCAAGGGAGGATGACTTTTTGCGTTTGGTCACACTACGGATGACTGTGACACCAAAACATCAGCAGCCCTTGCACGTCACTGCCACACCATTTATTTATACCTATGAGCCGTGAGCATACCTCCATGCTGAATGGAGTATATATGATGCATTACATACAACTTTGCTTAACAAACTGACGCATGGAGAAATGCATTTTCGCACGATGCTCAAAAACAAAACACAAACAACGTACATTAGACAAACATGTTAAAAATACTGACGCGCCAAAAGAGCGCCATTAAAGCGATTTTGGCAGCAAATAAATAACATAAACCTCAATGGCGATACAATATCAATATACTATGGCGCAATGGCGTCGGCGTCACATGCGCATAAAAACATATGTTAAGCCGCGGCAGCTCATGATGAACATAACAAATAATTTCTCATCCGTGGAATCTGAAGCAAAGGAATAGCCTCGGGTCGTCAGCGTAGTCCATGCCATCAAAATGCGTGACCCATTCTGTCAAACATCATCGGATACCGTCTGGTGTCACGCCGTGCCCAAAAACATCAGAGCAGTCGGCTCGGTGGTATGCGGCGGGTTTGGTCCGTTGCGGAACCCCGCCGGCCCCCCGCGAAATCCGACAGCATCCGTTACGCAAACCTGGCGCCGGTGAAAGAGAGGCGCCTGCTCAGCATGAAGGTCACGCTGAGCGTACTTAGAGTTGGCGGCGGCCGGCGGAACAGGCAGCCTACGCCAGTGTCTGCACCTCTCCGGGAGTGCCCGTCACGACACCATGTGGTGCGCTCTCCTCCCGCTCGTGCTGGCAGGTGAGACTTTCACACAAGCCTAGCAGCAATGTTGAACAAACCTATTATGCGCTAACAAAACATCTTGCAACTTTTTTGGAATGCAGTAAATTGCAGGATAATGTGTGCAAAAGCTCGGCAAAATTCTGCTCTTCGAGATTTTTTCTTGCTTGCGTGAAGGAAAGGTTGGCTGGGATACGGCAGTAACCATTGTTAAATAGGGGCGGCTTTGTATCAGTTCCACGTACGCAGACCGACCGCAGGATTAATGCGGGGGCCCACTGGTTTTCACGAAACCCGATAACGCTTCTGGGAGCATAAGGACTTCCATGGATATTCGAATTTGTGCCGCTCTGAAAGAGATAGAACAAAAATTTGCGTGAACAAGGGTACAGTGATAAGTGATAAGTACATTGATGATTTCGCACCCGAACTGATACATGAACTGGTATGTGTGAATGTTTAACCGAATCCCGCTTACAGAGTTAGACGGATCCAACTTTCCGCGCGTCATTTCTGCATCAGATTGCCCTCCCTGTGCATCAATAGCGTCCGTGCGGATTCTTTTTTATTGCATCTATTGCATAAGCATTTTTGTATATATATATATATATATATATATATATATATATATATACTATTTAACCTCGGATCTTTTTATTAACTGTTTGCACGACATGCCATCTTTGTTCGTCCGCAGCACTCTGGCTTGTCCCAGTGCGTAATGTTCACCGTTCCCTGTCGTCGGGCTACTGTTTGTTCACCAATCGTTCCATATGTTCTTGAACTCGTCGCATGAGTGCATTTGTGGTGAGTAACGCGGAAAACAGACAATGATCGGTCAACTGGCATGCCTCTGATTTCGATCCCAAACACATCAAAGACTCGTATGTATTTGCTTTTGACAATCCATTGCCATTAAACAGCGTCCCATTTTAGTCTAGCTCGATGTGCACTACCTGTTCACCTTTCCTCTTCATTAATTGTTCACAGTGCCTGAGTCTCAATTCATAGTTCCGCTGTTTTTAACAGGATAGCCTTGTCTCGTATTTAAGCTAAAACTGCCGAAAATGATATAATGTCTCAAAAAGCTAATGTAGGCAGTGGTTGCTTCAGCAGAAATGTAGAAATAATGCCATATTATTCAATTTTATACATTTTTACCACTGAAGCGCTTGAGTCAACACTTTGACCAGTAAGTGGATCACCGCGGTCCCGAGATCGAAGGTAGTGTTGATATTACCTCGTCCCACCCCAACCCCATCCCCCCCCCCACCCCGCACCCCCTCCCCACCCCATCGTTGTTGGTTCGGCGCGAAGATACGTCAGTGCTACGTGTAGGATCAAACCGCACTAGTTCTCGCAAAAATGGCATAACATACGCTGTATAGTGTTCTGGACCAAACTAGAAAGGTCTGCAGCAACTGCCGTCCTGGTCACGCTGGGCGCCGTAAAAGGCGCGCTTCGCTGTCCGGCCGACGACTCACGTGCGCTGACGTCACCCCGTCCACCACAGGGGCGGCGGCGGTGGACGTGTTCGAATGCCCGTTGGAAGAGAGCACCGGCAAGTTCATCGACCCGGACGAGTGTGATACGTACTGGGACTGCTTCCGCGGCGAGGCCGTTAAGAAAGAATGCAAGGACGGCTGGGCGTTCGACCCGAACCGTGTTCAGCTGGCTGAGCCGTGCGACTACATCTTCAACGTCGACTGCTACGGACGCGAGTCCCTTGGTGAGCCACTGGGCACAGGCGTCTGCGAGCGCCAGAACGGCATCTACGCGCACGAGGACCCGGAGGTGTGCGACAAGTACTACTCGTGCTCCGACGACACGCCGACGCAGCTCATCTGCTCACCGGGCCTACATTACAACATCTCTTCCAGGACGTGCGACTGGCCACAGTCGGCGAATCGCGGCTCGTGCGGGCAGCGCACCTCGCTCGACGGCTTCACGTGCGACCCGAGCATAGATTACTTCACGCCCAGTAACCAGAAGATCGCGCACCCCACTTTCGCACACCCGGAGGACTGCACCAAGTTCTACGTGTGCAAGAACGGCATCGAGCCGGCCCTGTCTGGTTGCGATGAAGGGCTGGTGTACAGCGAGGAAATCAGCGCCTGCGACGACCCCGTCAACGTTCCTGAATGGTGCGTAGCACGTACGCAGGTCGGACGATCAGGCCTAAGTCTCAGGCCCACACGGTCTCACAGTCTCAGGCGCCTCAGTCTCAGGCGCACGCGGTCTTACAGTCTCAGGCGCCTCATTCTCAGGCGCACGCGGTCTTACAGTCTCAGGCGCCTCAGTCTCAGGTGCACGCGGGTGCGCATGTCGAGTGAAGCCCCAAAAGCTGCCGATATCTAGAACGTTTAATGCCATTGGCTGTTGACTTGGATGGACAAGTACAGAGGCGCCCCCTGTGATCTTGAAATTAAAGCAAGTTCGCGCTAGTTCACCCCTGCACCCCAAGAACTATCAAACATGCTTTCATTGAATGCCACCACCTGACGTTAGCTGTGACTACATCACTCTCGCACCTTTCACAACTGGTGAGCATATTAGCGAAACAAGTGTGTCTGCGCCTCTTGCTGAGAACAAAGAAAGCATCGTCGGCGATTTTTAACACTGGCACGCGTCCTTGTTCCACGGCCGCAGCACCTCTGGGTTCTCGCTGACCCGGAACTGTTCGTTCTCAGCGCCGACTGGTTTGACACTGCTCCGGAGACGCGCCGCCGGAAGTAGAGCGGCGATCTCTGCCATCTGCCCCAGACAGCCCAGTAGGCGGCCTCGCCCTAGCAGCGCCACCTTGGCAGTCTCTCGCAGTGTCGCGCCGTCACCAGAGGCCGACGGACGAAGGTCCCGGAGACAGCGGCCCGAGACGTCATTTTCGAGGTGTCTTATGGCGAGGGACGCCAGCTGGGACACGCAAATGCACACATGTTGCATATGTGGTCCTTCTGATATGACTCGTGCTGTTGAAATGGTTGGTTTGTTACGAGAATACAAGACGGAATGTTGTGGATGTTTTTTATCGAGGAATGCACGACTAAGGTGGAAACATTTGGTGCGAGTGTTATTCGACTGTCATTCTCAGATCTTCTCTATCTGCGGCTACGTGGGGTTCTCAAAAAAAAAAAATGATGAAGGCCAAGAAATACCTTGTTGTTTTGTATAAAGCCCTTCAGTACGCTTCATGTATATTCTATGCAGACATTTTACGAGTTCCCCCGTTTAAGATGTATTTTTTTCAGGGAACAGAACATGGTGAGTAAATGTCACTACGTTAAAAACCGTTGCATCAAATTTCACAGCCTCGACTTCTCCGATCTCGCGTTTAATGGAACTGGTAATGACGAGCTCGTTCGTGAATTACAGCCTTGCCAGACGTATGATTTAGTTCTCAAAGCTTTGAGTGGCGAACATGGAAAACCGCGTTCGGCGAAGTGCTCTATCAAGCCTCTGCGCCCACTGGATTTTCTCGTGCAGTGTTTTTGTAAGTGTTGAGTAATTGTGTAATGAATGCAAATAATGTTCTTAGCTTCCTGTTAGCATAGAGAAACGTTATTATGTTGCAACTGCATGGGTTACTAAAATTTGCTACTCATTTACGTCAAATTAAGCGTACACGACCGCGACAGAGTTGTCCGAATCGAGCAGTAAAGCGCATTCATCGAATTCATCCTCAATGCTTAAAGTTGTCATTACATGCTTGAATCAATTTTGGGCTGCATTTAATTTTGAGCAGTCTTTCCACCAACATCGTGCTCGCCACCATGAAATGTGCTCGCTTCTATAACCATCATTTTGATATTACCCAGTAGTGATGAAGACAATACTATTACATTTTTGGGCTTTTCTCATCATAAAACATATTTTATTCCATAACTTCAGTTATGTTCACCCGCGTTCAAGACCCCTTTCTAATATGCATGTGGATACCAACTTTTCACAAGCGGAATGAACATTTATAACACCTTTGCGATGAAAATATATTGTTTAAGCGTTTCAATTCAGTGAACACCTGGCGACAGGCGCTTCGGAGCTTGATGAGCTTCGTTGACTGTCAGCAGCGCCATAGATAGCCCATACGAGAGTCGCGAACTAAGTTTGTCGGATATTCCACACTGATCGGGTAGACCTATGGTCGTCACTGCGTTTGAACTGAAATAGTGTGCTTACACTTCCATTCAGCTGTTCGTGGTTAGACGTTAAGCAAAGGAATGGCGTAGCGCAAACTCGGAACAGCCTTGGTGCACGTTCTCGTGACATGTGCAGTGAAAACCGCTTCAAATCCAGTTATTGCTCAGTGTTTTTGTGATAGCCTCCAAACGCGGAGCGCTCGTTAAAACAATGATTCACGAAGCAATCTGGCTTCATCAATATGTTCATACATCAATGGCTTTGCCCAACGTTTTGGAAGCGAAGGCTTTCCTAATGTTTACATTCAACGGACTGCTTCACATTGGTTTTCAACCGAAATAGCTATCCTGAAGGTCATTCGGTGTAATGTACAGCCCTGCCACTCTTAAGACCTAAACCATTCTATTTTCTGAGCACCACGCCTGCCAACATGTGCAGATTTTTTCGGAGAGACTTTTCCAGGGTCACCCAGGCGAGCAGAACACAATAATAACATAATTCAAACGTTGCCATTCTACTGGTCATGCGGCAATCCAGCCCGAGAAAAACATAATTGTTTGTGTCGTTCATAGCTGGCGTTTGTGAGCTCGATCGCCAGATAGAATGGTCGCCAATTGGCTCGCAATCAATGTTGTGTAAGGGACGATGACGTAATCAAACAATGGCGCATTGAAGAGCGCAGTTACTAAAAAGAGAAGTCGTGTTGTCTAAAGCAGCCTTTTCCACCTGAAGGTATGTCCATATTTATAAGTGGATTTATTTCATCATGTCTGATACTTTGCCTCAAAATCCTTAAATGTAGAGCATTGCCTTTAAGAGAGAGTACCGCTATTGGAGGCAATACAGAATGGTCCGCGATAGGCACACGTGACTAGGCATCTAAGCAATGCACGTCACCAGAGCATGCGTCTGTTCACAATATGCAATACTCAAGTGACCTCCTTCCACTCTTAAAAAGGGCAAGCTGGTTACAGCTGCGGACAGCAGTACCAGGTTCAAGTACGCGGACTGATCCGTTTCATCAGGTTGGAAGGGCCAACAAGTATGCTGCAGTAAGATGCTGGCGAAGAGGCTTAGGCGATGTGAGTGACATTTGTTGTTAATCGCACACGCCGAAACCTAAGCAAAATGAGTGTTTCAAGCTTCAGTTGGGCAACACTTAAGTGTTAACTTCCTATAATGAAGGAAGGCCTCCAGCTCCTGGTTTTTTGGCATTTTCAGTTGAAAGTTCGTATGTTAAGTGCCTTAAGTATACAGGAGATACTGGTTGAGTGACGTTGTAATGATAAATAACGGATGTAATGACGGTATTCAGAGTAGCAAACTCAGAGAACCGCACGGCACTAACGGTAACCGCCATTACAACGTCGTTAGACATGTACCTTATGGTGCATTGAAGGTCGTTTACTCAGCAAAGAACCTTCAACTAATAAATGTATCGAAGCGAATGCGCTTACTTAAAGTGCTGAGCATTAGGCCGACTGAAAACTCCACAAAAAAATCCTTTCGTGCGGAAAATATGATTATGTCGAAAGCATTCAGAAGTGGATTTGCAATCCAAGTCAAATATGGGTAGTCTAAAGACATGCGCGTGCTGTTGACTCCGACATCAAACGCGTTCTACCTGCGCGCATTCCGGTCAATAGCGCATTAGGCGTTAAAAAACGCATGATGCGGCTGAAAACTGGGGTGATTACTTTTTTCATCTGGTACTTCTGCTAGGCTTCCTGGTGTGCGTCTGGGCCCGGCCTGTCGGTGTCTTCGATTCGTTTCCTGACCTCTTAGCCTGTTCGTTCAGAGTAGAGACGCAACCGTTTTCAAAAATGTCAGCTCGCGGCCCCGCCCGGCCAGCTGGGGATCCAGCCCGCAAATGACCGTGGGGCTACCGTACTGAGCTCGTATTAATAGTGAATATTAATTTAAAGGGTGTGTTCCACATTTATCTGAGGTTTTGAACTTCAATAGCCATATTAAAGACCTTTCGGTGCTGTTCACAATCCTGCCCTTCTTCAGACTTAACTTCTCTGGTTTCTGAGCTAAACGCCCGCGAAAATGGGTGAAAGCATATCGGGGAAACTTTTCAAAGTCGCCTTGGCATTCATGATCTCATAATAACGTCATTCAAATCCTGCTATTCCATAAGCCATGCGGCGATCAAGGCCTAGAAGACTATAATCGTCGCGTCGTTTATATCTGGCGTTCGTGAGCGCGATTTCCAGATATAACTGCCGTCAATTGGCTCTCAATCAATGTTATGCATTTTGCAAGGTACGATGACGTAATCAAACCATGACGCACTAAGGAGCATATTTACTACATAGAGAATTGTGCTGTTTTGAACAGTCTTTCCACTAAAAAAAACTTAACGTTAGTTAGGTGACCTTGTTTTATCATACCTGATGCTTGCTCCAATATCTTCAAATGCAAAAGATTCCCATGGAGTGCTATCGATATTTGTAGCTTTGTTAATTAGTTCATTATTGCGCATTAATTACGCCGTATTATATCATATCACTTAGTTATCATTAATCAACACATCACTGCTTAGATTACATTATATTACATAATTTATGAATTATTGATATTATTAGTCTCTTTATTGATTAATTGTTACAGCATTTCAGGTCTTTACACGAAACACGCGAAATATGTTATCATATTCATGTCATGAAAAATATTGTTTTCGTAGGTAATGACATTTGTCAAAAGCACACGTCTAATAAAAATTATATAGTGATTGTGATTAAGGAATTAACCCTTGTGTGTATCACATCTCATTGTAGAAGCAAGGACATCTCACTGATGTCTTTACACTGACACAGAGTGAATAAATTCTAGGTTTTTCAAATCGTTGGGTCTTTTAGTTCCTCGCACTACACACTAGCACAAATAGCATACAGGGCGAAGAAATCGGTCGCATATTTCACACGACACTGGCGCTTTGTCTGCCCCGCTGATGGCGAATGCGCTACAATAGCAGCAACGTGATCACCCGGGTTACAGAAAAAATCAATAATTGTATATAGTGGTTGCTATCCTTAAGTAGACACATCATGCAATAGTGTGGAATAGTCACTGCACGTCAGATTTGAAATGATCCGCATTTCACCCTTATCGCTATCTATGCTTCCTTTCAGGAAGTCTGCCCCCCACCCCGCGCCATTTGTGATGCTGCGTACAAAGAAAGCAATCGTATGTTGTCCAGGAACGCTGAATACGCCACTTAGGTGACATCGTGCATCACAAAAACAAAAACCATCAGGCCACAAAACCGTGAGATGTTCTATAAGGTTACAGCCGTGTTTCGACTGAAAGACAAACTGAGCAAAGCATGCTGGAGGCATTCATTTGCATAGCCCATTGGCTGCAGCTTTTCGGAACTACACTGAATGTTTGGTTGACGACGTCATGCGTAGAACTGGACTTCTTGATACAGACCTGTTAACAGATATCGGAGGAGATGGCAGGTACAAACAGAACAGATTTTGTCCTTTGGATACACATGAACAATTAGTGACGATCGGAAAGAGAAGAAAATCATAAGAAAGAACCTCTTATCGCGGTAGTAATTTGTATGTTGCATGAAAATAACGCAGGCATAAGTAGACAAACTCTACCCTACCACTTTTTAGATTATGACAATTGTTGCACATGTGAAACACCAGTAGTTGCGTTCTCTATTGACCAACATGCCAGGCTAGGGCGATGAAGTCATACAGTTTCCCGGGTATTTCGTTAATGATTGCTATGCATTCTAATGTGTGGTTTGCGTATGAAAAAGTGTCGCTTAAGTAAACCATATTCTTATAACAACGGGCCAAGCGCATTACTCACTGTGTTTATACAAGCGATTGACATGCCTACGGTTGAATAATATAAAGGCAACGCTTGAAACATTTTCTGCATCTACTTTGCGCGGCTTGATGAGATCTTTGCTTAAAGCTGCTCAATTGGTGCAACTTGATTTACTGGTTTGTCATGTTAACAGTTGATTTTGTCACGAGGCCCCTTCCTACAAAACTCGAAGTACTAACTTCCACAGCTGTTTTATGTGTGGTAGTACACTTGGATTTTTAGAAGGTCCGGAAGCAAATATACCAGCAAAAGGGTCTTATTTTGGTTGTTAAAACCTTTAACCCGAAAATCCCGACAAGTCTGGCCCACTACCGGGCTACAAGCCCGCGCGTTCTTGCCGTATCAGATGTGGTGGGTTGGTGGATTAAAAAGTTGCGTCTCTGGTTCAGAGCAGCGAACAACTGACAAGCCGGGCTGCCCACAACTCTGTATTTATCAAAATCATGGTAAAACTACAGTTTGTACAACAATGTAACAGAACCTCCAGGCATGCCAGCTGCAGCACACATCACGGGTCAGTTCATAGCAAACCGGCCAACAAATGACTGTTTTTACTCCATTGCTCTCTCATTCCAAACTGACACCTGGCTTTATTTCTCTTCGCGTTTATCCGAGACTCTCCTGTTATGACGTCAAACAATGCGAGTATTCCCTGGCCGGAGCCAAACATATTTTCCGGTGACGAGAGTAAGTTACAGATCCTGCTCCCCTTCGACTGACGAGTAGTAATTCTCGCTGAAACAGAACGCAGCACGCAGTCAGTCACCAGCGGGCCTCAACTTCGCCCCGATACTTCATTGAAGTCTGTCGTCCGGAATGCATGCATGTGACGTAATTGTTTTCTGCGACGCCGGCCGATCTTACGTGCATTTTCTAAACAACAGGCCGGACCCCCCCCCCCCCCCCCCTGAGACGTAAGGAGCTGACAGTCGTACGTTCAAAAAGTAAATCGATAGCTTGCAGTGAACAAGTGCACAATGGTTGCGACTTTTCTACACGCAACGCAATGGACGACTGGAACAGACAACGAAATCAGCAATCCGAATGTTTAGCAGTCCAACGCATGTGTAGTAATCCGAAGCAGTCCAGCCATGCAGCACAAGAGTACAAAGTCCTACACATCAGTGAATTCCACAAAAAGCAACGGAACTCTGCTTACCATCCTTCAACGTTCGCGGGGTCGTCACACTTGCGCGTGGCGTCATTGAAGACAGTGCCCTCGGGGCACCCGCCCTCCATGGGCTTGACGCCGTTCAGGCAGACGTAGAAGAGCCTGCAGTCGTCCGGATGGATGTAGGTGGGGTTGTTGTCGCGGTTGCCGTGCACGTCCACCGCGTTCGTGGCGTCCAGCGGGCACGAGAAGTCGCCGAGGGCTGCGGCGGGGGCGGCATGATCAGCGCTGCGTTGCCAGGGGGCGTCCGCCAGGCTGCGGCACTGGCGGCGGCGCCGAGTCATTGCAGATGGCGCCACCGGCCCGGCGGTCAAGCGCGTCGAGTGAGGAGATCAGCGGAAAGCTGGTGGTCGAGTTAATGCAGGATGGAGCAATGCTTTGGACGCGAAGTCGAAAGCAAACAGGCTTTTTAAGGTTTGCTGGTGAGCTGGACAGAAAGATGATTGTGGAATTGAACGTAGTTGTGCGGTCGCGGTGTTGGAAGAACCCTGCGGTTCGGTGACGAACGTTTTCGAGGAATTGAAAGAGGAAGAATCCGATCATTAAGCCGTAAATGCGAGGTAGTTCAGGTGATCCCTCGCGCCACCCGAAGGACCGCACCGCGAACAACAGCACACACAATTGAGGTCGGGCTGAAACTGTCCCCGACCTGGCCGACTCCCCTCTAAACGAGCGAGCGCCATCCCAGCGCACAGATTGACCACTTGAGCAGCCCAAGCTGGACGACAGAGCCGACAGTCGGCTGGGAGCTCACACTCGCGCTTGTCGCAGAGGCCGCGGCCGGCCTCATCCGGCCACCGGCACTCGCGGCTCTTGATGTGGAAGTGCAGACCGGGCGCGCACTGGGAGCGCGTGGCCACGCCGTCCTTGCAGACGTAATAAGTGTCGCACAGCTCCGGGTCCGGGTAGATGCCGTGCTGGCGCTCGCACTCCAGGTCGATGCCGGGTTGCGGGTCCTCTGTGGAGATACCAGTGGCGTCAGAGGCAGCACGACGACGAGACTGGATTCACCAAGGTAACACTGGAACGGTTATCTGATGAATTTCGCCAAAAGTAAAGCAAACAAACAACTCAAAACTGTAAACGAAAAGGCAAAGAACAAGACTCAACAGACGAATTTTAAGAGTAAGCATGCTCTTAGCCATTATTTTACATCCCTTGCGGCGTATGTTGCGTTCTTCCGCAAGTCATGGGATTACATACTATTTGTGGCGCCACAAGGGTCTGAGCCTAAGCACTCATACTGGTGGTGCCCCGGTCTTACGAGCGACACCATTCGCTTGGAATAACCTTGAGTGGGTTGGCTCACGCTGGCACGCGTGGCCCGAAAGAGCCCTCCGAGCCGCATGACAGGGATCCGTTTTGACCCGAGCTGCCGCAAGAACGCCCAGCAGAGATCTCTCTGAGTGACGGAGACCGGGCTCCCAGAGGTGAACCCGACCGCCAGCTGGTGACATTGCCTCACACACTCCACACCGACCCGAGCGGGGTTACACGGTCGCGGTGGCCGAGTGGCACCCATCGGTCACGTACGGAGGCTCTCGCGGCCCGTGCAGTTCACTTTGAAGACGTAGTCGCAGGGGTAGATGGAACCGCGCAGGTTGGGGTTGAAGGCGTGGCCATCCTGGCACTCCAAGGGCTCGGCCTCGCCGCGGTTGCAGCGCCAGAAGTAGTCGCAGAACTCGGTGTCCTCGTAGTCGCCGTACGACTCGGGGCAGACGAACTGGAAGTCATCCTGGCCTGTGGAGCGAAGGCGAGCAGGCGGTCAGAGGCATTGCGAAAGTGCATTGCAATGCGCAGGATGGTACATCGACAAAAATTGCTCGGGTTGAGGGGAGGAGACGCGGGAGCAGCATAAAGTCGAGGGTGGGGGAGTGACGAGTGGGGCCCCGGAAGAGATATGAAGTCCTGATAATGTGCCCTTATCGGCGCGGGGGAAAGCAAGACCGAGCTGCGTTGTAAGTCGTTCGTGAACTGCTGACCATGAGATGATCACGGATAGCTTTGCAGGGGTCACTTGACCTTGACTGTAATTGGTCCGCTCTCCCAGTTCCCATCTCGCTGAGGCACGTCAGGTTCGCCGAATGACATGACGCGGATGTTCTCATCAGGCGGTTCGATCGCACGACGGCACGCCACGAGGAACGTGGCGTCCGCCGACGGCATGTAAAAGAAGCTGCCGAGCGGTCAGCAGCGCTGTCGCAACGCGGCCGTCCTTTTTACCGGACGACGGCACGCGCAGTTGCATGCTGCGCCGCCAGTAGTCGCGCGCCGGTGCCGGCTGCATTATGCCCGCCTGAGGTCGCGCCACTGCCGAGCGTCCAAGCACCACGAAATATGCAAATCCCCGGTGGTTCGGCGGCTGTGACGCATAATCCGGTTGTGAAACGCGCCGTCTCCGCTGACGGGCCCGCCAGACCGGTCGGCGGTGCCGCCACGGCCTCGCGGGGCCAGCCGGCACGCGGTCGTCGACCCTGCTGTCTGACCCACATCCGACCTATCTTGCGCGGCTCCTGGCGGCGGGACGTGGACGAGGATAGCTGAAGATGACCTGCCCCCTCCCCTATCGGGCATCGCTGGCCTTTGAGGGCACGGCCAGCTTTCCAAACAACTTTCATTTTCGTTGGAGTTGACTCCTCCTTTCATTCGGCCTTGGGAGGTGCAGACCCCCTTGCACTTTTACTCCTGGTGGCCACTTTCTAATAGGTGTCTCGTCTCGTCCGTACATGGTTTATCGGCGATGGCACTGGTAATGGTGACCTCGCGACCACGCAGGGTGGGTCGGCGGCTTTATTGAAGGTTCGTCCCAATTTGCTTCAAGGTGACTCGTGAGCCCCCAGGCTGACAAGCTGATGACAGACGGACGATGGACGCGCTGGTCAGGGAGAAAAAGCTAGGCTCGCTGATCAGCTTGCATTGGGTGTTACGTTCGTCCATTTTGTTTGGTCTACACGCTTGACAAAAGCTGCCGTGTTGAATTCCAGGTGAATGCAAAGTAAGCGGCGCTTAGGACGGCTCTCCATACATCGTGTGACAAAACGATCACCAAGGTATTAGCTGGCGGATTTACACAACCCGACCTGTTTAAGCCCCCGTGTAGTCACGGACTTGAGCCTGCGAGCCTGCCATAAGTGATGGTGTAATTGCTCACGGTGTAAAAAGGTTCAAGGTGAGGGGATGGCGTTTGTTAGATACGACAAGCGGACGTAGATAAGTAGTTTAGTACACAGGTATGCCTGAGTGGTGGAAAAAACGTACAGGGAATCTAAAACAGACGGCTGGCATAAAATCACATGAATGCAGGTTGTTGCTTCAAAAACAACGCGAGAAATGCTTTGCGAGTCGCCGGACACGTGAGTCAATACAAAAAAAAGTTTCTACGTCACCAACTTCACTCCGGTGGTCAGTTTCTAACTCATTTCTATGTGTACATCGTCAAAATGTATGCGTGACGTAGATGATGCATTAGGTAGGGAGACTGTTTCCTGCGCCGCCAGCCCTAACCTTTGGGCAATGAACTAATCAAATCTGTAGGAAAAACCGGCTGGATTAATCTTCGCAGGGATTTCAACCATATTCCAGATGACAACTACCTCAACTCATTGATCAAAACGGGTCCATAATCGGATGGGTCTTTTACAACCAAAATGAAACAATGGATATGCCGTTGTAGTTATACATTGTCACTGTAGACAATTTTGAGCGGGCAATTTTGTGCGTTTGATGTGATGAGTTCTCGATAGGGGAATGCTGTTAGGTTTGGTTCGAGAAATCGGTGTACAAGTGTGTGTGCTGATGATTCTCGTTGAGAGTATATTCATGGCTGCAGGTGGAAAAAAACAGAAATGATTGCAAACTTTTGGTAAGCCAAATAGCGATAGATTTGTTATCACAGTTTAGTATCCATGGTCAACAGCCCATTCATCAAATGCCACAGCAGTCCTCTTCCCGCGATCACATAACCGTTCATCGTGTTATCGAGATCTAGACACCGCTAAGATTTAAGACATCTGGACGAATCCTGCAATTTAAGTATTATAAGCTTCTCTACGACGGATTTGCGGTAAACGGTCGTTTCAGGCCAGTTCAGGGATTACAGTTCCGTTCGTAACGAATGTTTTTCGTCTAGAACTGATCTATATCCGACATTTGACCGTAACGTTTGCACGAATGGCCATGGAATCGGCATGGAATCGGCATGCCTGCCGGGATAAACGAAAGCCCAAACCCTACTGCCAAGCACAACTTGAGATCAACAGTCGAATTTTGCCGAGATATTCCAATTGTCATGCAGTGCCTCGATCGAATCGTCCCTGTTCCAGCCCGGCTCTTCTGGTCACTCATCAACTAACCACCAACGAAAAGGCACATGAGTATAATCTGTCAGTCGCAAGCCCATGCCGTCATGTGTCCGCCGAACGTTGGTCGCGGCGTTGAGCGCAAACCAACTGAGATGCAGCGATGAGGGCGAGACGGCCAACGGCGTGCCTACGCAAAGGGCCACATTGTCCACAACCGACGCAAAATGCTACGGCAGACCCATACAACTGAATACGCCTCAGGTATGCATGATTTTGGCAGCAGCTAAGGCGTCCCTAGCAATTATCAAGAAGCATAAGAGTGTAGAGTACGTTGTTGAATTTCCATTCAAACAAGGAGGTTTCAATTACATTCTGTCACTAAACAGGGCAAGCGACTGCAGTCACCCAGGAATTTCTTGCCATGCGAGGCTAGAAATAAATTTGACGGGGTGATCTTGACGCATAAACACCACGCATGGGGTCACACACCAGAGCGCCAGACATGGAAAACAGGATTATTATGTTAAAATAGGATTATTCTGCTGGGAAGAAATACGCACGGTTTACCTTGCAGTTTCAATTATAAGGCTATGCGGCTTTTGTAGTAATGCAACAGCAAACATGCACTTTGGCATTCTAAAAAAGTGTCATTTGAATGAAATATCCCACGATGCAAGGAAAAGATCACGCAGGGGGCAGAGCCATGCGACATCACCTTAGTGCCAGAAGGAGCTAATATGGCCGTGCGAATACCAAATGCTAAAAACGTATGCCTTTGATGCAGTGCCGCGCCAAACCTAGTACTAAATGTGCTCTCAATAATGATGTGACAGCCTATAGAGCAGTGCCAGAATATAAGGAGGGTCTTCAAATGTATGTGAATGGCGCCAGGTGGTCGCACTACACACCAGTGGTCATGCTAACCCTCAAATCCAAGGGATGTCCTCCCTCTCACGCCGCCTATATAGCTAGAAACTAGCAACCAGCCCGGCAGGATCAGCTGATTAAAGTCGGTGACGGCACGTCTCAAGCCCCGTCTCAAATACACAAACATCCCAAAACGGCTAGATTTTCGACACTGCTGCGGCTGGGACAGAGCGCTCGCGAGACACCCCCGGCGCTACCCGCGCCGCACTCACCGTACGCCACGGCCAGGACGGCGAGGAAGATCAGGCTCCGCATGTCTGCGCGCGCTGTGGATGCCCGGACGGCCACGTGAACACTGGACGCCCGCCACCGCCGCCGCAACATTTTATCTCCAAACGTTACAAAATTAGAAGGTGATTGCAGCGCCGCGGGCGGTTTTTTGCGGCGCGCGGCTCGTCCCGCGCTGCGGGGGCCGCGCGTCGGAGTCGGCGGTCGGCCGGCCAATCACGGCTCGGGTGAGGGGGCAAGGGCGACGGGAAACACGAGCCGCAGCCGCCGCGAAGGAAGGGCACGCCAATGGCCCCCCGCACGGCCCGCTGACTCAGTGCCAGCCTTGGCGTTATGGGCCAGACAGCCGGATGCAGCGAGGCGACGGCAAAGGGTTGGATGGGGGCCGATCGGTATCAGGGCCAGGTGTCTGCGCGCTTTTTTGTGCAGTGTGCCTGTACCAGCCGCGAAGAAGTCCCTACGGTTGTGGGCTGAGTACACGCGAACGCGCAGGTTTCTGCGTATGTCGTGTGACGACCTCGAATTTGAGGTCGATGTGTAGCTTGTGCAGCACGGCATGGGTGTATTTCTTAACAAAAGGTGTGACCCCGTGATTTGTATGGGACTTGAGCACTTGGTCCACTCCGGCCCAGGGAGTGCCTGCCGGAGAAAACTCAGAACTGGCCGGATGTGGTGAAGAAGAGTGATAACTGGCCGGATTTGGTGGTTTAGTCGGTGCGCTTAAAAAGTCTCATTGCTCACTAAATTTAAGGCTGTCGCCATGCTCAACTGAAAGTGGTGAAATGTACCATACAGAAGGGTAAGTTATGGAATTGCACAATGCCGTGCATAAATAGATTCAACTAGGACAAAAATATCCATGACTTACGTGAAGAGAACACATATTCATGAAATTGATTTGCATATGCCCCTGTTTGGCGCACGAACATCCTCTAGCCAGAATCCCTGGTGATCGTAGCCTACGATTACATATCTCCATGAGAAGGCATAATGCCTACTTCATCAATAGAGATGGCGTCCCCGTCCAATCAAACAAGCGTCATGTAGCATTAAGTCACTCAAATGTGAATGTTGGCTTGACACACGTAAACACTTCGGGTACCTACTTGCAAGCAATGACGACGCACTGGGATGAATAGATGGGATGTGGAGAGGAGAGACCTGGAATGAATACATCATGACTCGCCGAGACGTGAGCAACATCACATCACATGGTTTGAGGTAAGGAGTATGAATGGAGGGTGTCACCATCTGCAAGCTACATGCATCCTACTACTAAAGCAACCTTGTCTACCAGTCTAGCATCTTTGGCGACATGCAAAGAGTGAGATGATCACAGATGTGATGTTTATTGTAATGCATGTCTATCACTCCAAAACATAAGCGAATGCAGTCAGTGGCCTTCCGAAATCCACTTATATCGTGGGTGTCAGTGCATCAGAATGTGTCTCTTAAATGACCTCAGGTGGCAGGCATTGGCTGAGTGTGTCTGCATGCCATTTTACAAAAAAAAATGTCTCGAAAATGGTTTGGCTATGTGCCTGGCATGGGCCAGCCATTGTAGTCGACGAAATTGATGGGCTTGGAATGGTGCACGTTTTTGGTGACCGGGATCATATAATGTCAATAACACACTCCGCTTAGTAAATATCGGCCAGAATACGCTTGTTTCTCCCCCTCTTTCGGAAAAGGTGTAATCCCCTAGAGTCCGGTACGTTTAAGTGAGTCTAAAAACGTTTAAGTAAATCTAGTAAGGTCTAAAAGGTCGCATGCATATCATGAGAAGGCTCTGTATGTAGCGCAACATTGAGCCTGCTTTGGCGAGCCCAGGATTGCTATATGAAGCATGGAGAATTTGTATATAATTGCTTTTCAGTGCAGGTGGAAGAGCCTCATGAACTCTTGTAACTATTTTGTTTTCTCCCGCGTCTTATTCATAAGCATGCAGCGGGGAAGCCGCGTTCTCCGTGTAGGCTTCCAGCTAAGACTACTCCGGGAGGGGCCAGAGCTCGTCCCTCTGCTGAAAAGTCGGCCAGAACTGGGTCGATGTTGAAGGGCGATTTTTGTGGGTTATCTGGACAAGATCTAAATTCCTGAAAGCTTTGGAAATTGCGTTGTGTCGGTAACAATTGGCCCAATCCGAATTAAAAAGAACACTTGGCCAGACGCCGTTGTCATGTGAATCGACCAATTTCGACGCAGTCAACACAGTTCGATGGAGAACGAGTTCAAAGTTGATATGTCATGGTGACATTTCAAAATTAAAATGCATGGGCGTTTTAAGAATTCGCCGCTCGCCGATATGCAGGATCATGGCCTCGTGACGTCCGTGGTCACCCGCTGTTACTGCACACCGGGTGAACTTGTAGAGGTAACTCACAGATATCGCAGACCTATGCCACCTGCAGCAGTTTACAAACCTGTTCAGCAGATGTTTGACAAGGCTTGCCTGGAACTAGTCTCTCGCAGGCGGAGACCAGCAGCTATCACCAGCACACGGAGCGTGTCTGGATTTTAGCATGGGTACAAGATCGTACTAAGTTGATAAATGACAAGAAGGGCATCGCCGCAGGCTTTCCAAATATTCCAGCGCGTTGCCCCAATGCCGCGATTGCTCTGCTCACAGATTCCCTGCTTGTCATGGCATGGGAAATAACCGGTACCTACAACAGGAAGTTGACTCGTGAACAATGCCATTGTGAAATAGCTTCGGCTAGCGATCCAGTCAGATGGGGCGGAGTCTGGGCTTCTGAGGCGGTGTTCTTATCCGGTCAGCTACCGTTGGCTGCTTAGTCACTCAGGCTGAACAAGACAGGGTCTCTGACTTAGTCACTCAGGCAGAACAAGACAGAGTCTCTCACTTGGTCACACAGGCAGGACAATACACAGGTCACATGCACAGGGAGAGACATGCGAGGAGGCTCATTCTGGGCAGTGATTTTAGGAAATCTAGCACTAGGCACACGGTGGCATATGCCATACAAAAAGTCAACGAGCCCTTAAATTCTACATCCACCATTACCATTGTCAGACTGCGAGGAGTATGCGAGCTATCCAGCTGGCAGAAACCGTGAGTATTGGAAATTTAGATGCAACTGAATTGAAAGTAACGAATTATCCCTAAGCCAAGGCGACAACGACTGGCCTTGATGTAGCAAAAGTAACTAAGAGACGAAAACGGCAACCGAGCGGAGAGAAGAACAATGATCGACCAATTTTCAGCCTTGGGATATCTCCGTGCGTAGCACTGAGTTAGATTAGAGGATAGGGAACTGGCTACCGAAAGCACCAAGACCGGAAAGAGCATCAAGTTTGCTAGGTTACCACCATGTCAAGTGCCATCATATTGCATCATCATCATGATCATGTGTGAAGTCTCGGGTGTGGAAACTGCATAACTAGTAACGGGTGTTGGCTCGTGTAAGTCGATGTACATTCAAGTGATAAAAATGCGATGTTCTCTGACAGCTAATGGTCTTCATATACACAGATATTAATCATTTCTTAACTAATGTTGATAAGGGTGCTGTGTTTTTGGCAGCTAATGGTTTTCATACCAGCAGAAAATAATAGTTCCTTAACCAAGGGTCATGACAACTTGTAAGAAAATTTGCCAAAGTATTGAATGTTGATTGACCGGACGCTGAAAGCTGAAACGCAGCTGGCCGAATGCAGAGATGTAGGATCCCAAAGATCGATTGGAAAAATGTACAACTCCAGTGATGGTGCAGAAATGCGGAGATACAGTTAAATGCTCAGTAGTAGGAAGGTTTGGTTTCAACCTCGCGCTAAAGTACCTATAGAAAGAAAATGCGCAGTGTTTGGCTCCTTCGATATGCGACACGTGCTAGGATTGGTTGGGCTATGTTACATTGCGCGGCATATGCTAATTCGAGCTTATGTGAAATAGCTGGAGGTTAGATTAGGTTACATGGGGTTACATCAGACAGGTTGGGTTAGGTTAGAAAATGGACTAATCTGACATCTGACCTTTTGGGGCAAATTTGCAAATCCCGAGCCTGTCACCTGAAAACTATCATCCACTAATGACCTTGAATTTTCAGAAGTCTAAACAGATATTTTGCTTTCCTAAACTATCACGGAGCAAGGTTCTGCTTCCCATGGTTGCGCCCTTGTGTTAAGGTGAAATACCGCCAACAATTTCTCATCTACGCCCGGAATCCCCTAGGAAATTCGAGCTCTCAGTTGGTGTACTCTTTTGACCAGATTTTGGTAGCCGATTGTTTGGCATTTTTGGATTGTCGTCATCGATCTTAAGCACAAAACAGATAGCGGCCGTATCGAGTCCATGTGTTTCACTTTGATATTCATCCTGGATCAATGTCAGCCCGTTCACGTTTTGCCTTGCGCCCACTAAGCGGTTTCATCTTAAGCCCGTCGCTATTTTGCCATTTACATCATATTTCATCACTCATTCATGGTCCTGTCAATGTCTTAAGTTTCGAGCGTATGGACCCGATATTTACTCCTCTTCATCACTAACCAAGCCACATACTGTTCCACCGCCGTGCAAGCAGGGTGTTGTCAGCACCTCGCAAGCCCCCGCAGCCACTCACACAGCCCCCGCAGCCACTCACACAGCCCCCGCAGCCACTCACACGGCCCCCGCAGCCACTCACACAGCCTCCCGACAGCCACTCACACAGCCTCCCGACAGCCACTCACACAGCCTCCCGACAGCCACTCACACAGCCTCTCGACAGCCACTCACACAGCCTCCCGACAGCCATCGAACATTGGCGGGCTGGGCCCCTAGTGCAGCGAGCCTGAGCCTGTGGCCCGTCTCCTCGGTATTGTGCAACGCGTGGACGGCTGCTTGCCGGCAGCGGAGATCCTCAGTGACCCGGTGTCGTCTCTCGTGGAGGGGGGGGGGGGGGGCATTTCGCAACGAGCCGCCGCCGCTGGTGGGTGGCGGTCCTCCCGCCTCGGACTCGGACGAACCTTGCTCACACGGGGGAGGCTTCCTCTGTCACAGGTGGATCCTAACAGGGTGAACGACGGGACCATGGGCGCCCCGAGGCGATGAACAAGCGAGATCGTTCTCCCTTCAGTGTCGTTATTCGAACGAGTGACGCGCTGTGCGGACCCGACCCCCTC